CGCCGCTTTGGGTAATAAATTAAATTAACAGTAAATTAAAATAATCTTAGAACTAAAAATAAATTTAAAAAATAATCACTATAAAATACAAGCAAAATTAATTATTACGGTTAAATACAATTTTAATATTAGAATTAAATGTATGAAAATTTTTTAAGGAGTCATAAGTTTTTATCACTATGATGTATTATGAAATATAATTGAAATAAAATTCCTTTATAGAAATTATGCTATAAAACTCATCTATAATTTTAAAAAAGCAGCACAATTTAGAATTTTAAACAAAACTTTCGAAAATTCGTTTTTAAATATTTTAGTATTTTTATTTATTTACACCAATAAAAAGCATAAAAATTGCAAAAGAAAATTGCTTGTTTGAATTTTCTATTAGTTCAGATTTAAAATATTATTTTCTAAAAGTAGTTACAAATTTCCTTACAGCATAGGAAAAGCTAAAAAATATCCAGCCCTGAAAGCATGCTATAGCTTTATAGTTATTCGGAATGTTAATTATGCTTGATAAATATGTTAAATTTTTAAAAATCAATCTCAATTTCAAAAATAAAAATATGTAGAAATTCTAATTTGTGAAATGTGGTGCTACAACCAGCATTTTCTTGACAATTATACACGTTGCAATAGGCAACCACTGTTAAATTTCTGCAAGTCGTCCCTACTCCTCCGGATGTGATCAAGGTGACAGCCGGTAACGCCTCAGATGAGGGAGAAAACCCGTTTGGGTTAGTCTATTTCTTATAAGGTCCATGGTCAAGAACGGTTGATTGAGCAATGTGTAGTGCCTCTGCAATCTCTCGTGCCGTGTACCGCAGATTAGACTTAACCATTGCCTTTATTTCGTCATTGTCAGCCACCAATGAGCTTCCTGATTAAGCCGCAGCATTCGCATCAAAATCGGCAGAACGGAATTTTGCAAACCAGTGGTGCTGTGTCTTTAGAGCAGTGTTTCCCAGCCTTTTTTGTGCTATGTTCCACCTAATCATCTCTAAAATTTTTAAGCTTCCTCTAGCATATACATAATTTTTAATATTTAAAAATTGAAATACTCACGAAAGGAACTTGAATGATAGCTTTTAGGAAGAAATGACTACGAAATTTTATGAGCAAACACAATAAGTGAACTTTCAAAACATGGAGAACTGAAATTCAAGAAAAAACTCATTTTAGTGTAAGTTTTTTATTTTAAGTATTAGTGATTTTTATTATTTAAATTTAGTGAGTTCCTTGTGCTTGATACTTGCTGCAAAGAAATTTTATGTCAGGTTCCAATTTAGATAACTTGAGTCTCAAGTCTCCCGGTTTCATTATATCCAACCGTTTTTTTTTTTTTTTTTTTTTTTTTTTAAAGCAGCAAATCATTTATGGCACTAAATTTGCATTCAGCAAAATATGAAGATGGAAACAATAACAGTAGTTCTCTTGCAAATTTTGTTGCATTTTGATATCTGATTCTGGTTTCCTCACAAAGCTATGTCATCGCTCCTTTTCTATTAAATAAAGTTTTAATTGACTCATCATTTTGCATTTCTGCGAGTTCTTCTTTTTACTGCATATTTGAAATATCAGCCAAATCTACGAGCATTGGCTTCATCATCCAAGTTGGAAAATCAATTTGTTTTAAGTTATAAAATCTTTTAAATCAGCCGATAAAATTTTCAGATGATCGATAATAACAAGTATAGCGGTAGTCACGTCACATTTTAGGAGCCAATGAGACTTTTCAAAATTTTTGTGGTAAATAGTATATGCGTAACATAATTCAACAAAGATAATGAAACCAAATATCTTCCTTTTGCATCATAAGTTTTATTTGCTCCTCGAAGTTGTTTATTTAATATATTTAATTTTTGAAAGATAATGGCTGAATAACTCACAATTGCCTTGTTATCATCCATTAACGGATTCTTCATTTCAGGCTTGTCGCTTAAAAAATAACTAAGAGTATCAAATAGTTCCATAAATCTTTCCAAGCAGTTCCCTTTCGACAGCCTTCTTATTTCAGTGTGAAGTACAAGTCTCATATAGTCTTCATTTTGTCTTCATAAAGTAAAATAACTTGAAAAGACGTTCACATTTGGCCCTAGTTTTAATAGCATTGATACACTTTATAACTGAATTTAGTACTTCATTTAGAACAGGCAAATTGTTTTTAGCTACCAGGTTTTGTCTGTGAATAACACAATGCACAAGAAGCATTTCTGGATTCTCATCTTTTATCAATTTTAAGCAATCCTTTTTCTTATTCTGTGCTTTATTTTATTTTTCAACTATCGTATTAAGAGCACCATCTGCAGTACAAGATGTATTATATTTTTTATATCCAAGTAATTTTTTAGCTTAGTATAAATATCTTTGGAGATAGTGGTGCTTTCTAGTGATTTACAGAACATTTCTTCGGCAAAATCCCCTTTATGAATATATCTTACATAAGTTACAAATACGACTTCACTGTCTCTCAAAGTTGGTTCATCCATTTGCACCAAAAATTTTCTTGTTTTCAGGTTTTCAACAAGTTGTTTTTAAGTATCCTCACTTATTTAATCTTTCTTTCTGCAAATAGTATTGTTATTTAGTGGCATAGCTTTAACGTCTTTGTCATCTTTTTCTAGAACAGTTTTAAAAGCTGATATTGATGGTTTCATTAAATTCTGCCCTATAGTATGGCTTTTCCCAGATGAAGTGATGAGTAATGAAATTTGATAAATAGCCTCAAGAGCATGATTAACAGTTGCATTATGAGCAGTAAATAGACATTTTAATATTACTTTATTTTCAAAAATTTTCCATAACCCTTTGCGGCGTGCTATACGTTAACGTCAGAATTTCAACAAAAAAAGTTGTATGCAGTCTATTTAGTCCTAAAGAAGTATACAGGTAAAATTTTGTAAAAATTGCACTTACCGTTTTAATTCTGTGGGTGTTTCATGAGGTGGAACACTGCGCCGCCAGAGCTTTTAAAAATGCGACTAAGTGAGCATTGCAGTGAAGCACGAAAATAAGTAGAAGCGTTTGTATAAGAATGAAAAAACTCTGTATTATGGCTGTATACATGGTTTCCTGGATATACACAATATTCTTAAATATATAGGGATAAATGAGATAAATATCTATATACACAAGTCCTATATACAAAAATATTTACAAATTTTCCTCTTTCTTAGCTTCATGAAATTGTTCAAAGCAAGTCACTTCTTTTTGATGGAAGCACAAACCAACTATGATTAATATTAACAATAAAGAAAAATAAGCCTATAATATATACATACAAGAAAATTATCTACAAATTATTGAAAATAAACGGGAATGAGACTAAAAAGCGACAGCAAAAATTCGTGCAGGTCTGAGTAAAGATGAGTCAAGCTACTAATAAAATTCCCGCCTAAAAACTACTCCCAAAAAATTTGAGATGACAATATTAATTAGGGCTTTCATAACACAAAACACACCTCGCTCCTCAATACTGCTTTGTTTGAATTCATTCCCCCCCCCCAAAAAAAAACGGAAACAGAAAACATAAACAATGGATGTTCTCTCCTAAGCACAGATGTTCTGATTCGTAACAGTACGAGATCGCTAAAGGCGCAGTTTTCCTGCTAATGGAACAGCCAGTTTTATTCAATGATTCTGCATATGGTTTTTGTATGAAAGATTAAAAAAAAAAATATAGAACAAATAATTTGGAGTACAGCCAGCAAAAGTATGCCTAATTTTTTTTCCAAAAAAAAATTATGTATATCATTAAAAAAAAGATTTTAATAACACATAATAAATGAAAATTCTGTGTCTCCTTGTCATATGCTGCTATCTACTGTTTAAAAAGAAAAGTTTAAAGTATATTATAAAGGCATTTTTATCTATTTACAGTTGAATTTAAAGGTTTCAGAAGCAATTCAATTTGTGGGTTCCATGTAGTGAAACATTGAGCCACAAAGGGTTAAAGTGCGAAAATAATTTGAATCTGAATTAATATCAGCATTATGTTTCGCCTTCAAATGTGCCTCAAGATGACCTAGTTTCATTGATTTGTTCGTCAGGCATTATTGGCATAAAAGGACAAAAGTTGACTGGGTATGAAACCAAATTTTAAATATGCCTCCGAATGCCGATGAACATTTTTTCTTCCTTGCACCCCTCATTTCACTAAGGGCTGAAAGAAATAAATATAAGATCATTATAAACAAAGCTGAAAGCAGCTGCTGTTGCTGTTCAAGGAAAGAATAATATACCAGTTATCATTCCTACAGTAAAAAATAAAATAAATTCGTTGGCTGAAATGTGCGAGAAACATCTGGAAAGCACAATGTGTCAGTTATTTAAATGCCTTTAAAAGCATTTAAATGTCTATGTCTGCAGCGAGAATTCTTAATATAATATTTAAAATGCAACGCAATTTAAAAACTTTTTTACATATACATCACTTACATTTTTCTTTTTTTTTTTTAGGGAATAAAAAATGAAATTTTGAAAAATTTTGACTTTATGAAACATATCTAGAACATCCTTTGTCCCCTTAAACGAGTTCATTTTCGAATTGTCCCCTTAACAGTCGCATTGACCCCTTGTGGGATGTGGGCCCTATGTTGGGAAACACAGCTTTAGAGCATCATCCCCATAAACTTTATGCAACTTTTCACAAGCTTGCATCACATTCTTGCCTTTGCGGAAATAAAAAAGCAAAATATAGCGAAAAACAACATTTCCCTCTCCATTTTCAACTCTGTATAAAATCCATCCAACTCATTCAAATCGAACAATTTTCTGCTTATTAAATTTGTTAGAAGTGTGACCTTATATAGTATTTCAGTGAGGTGTATGCACATGGTGCTTCTACTCCAAAAAATGCATTAACGACATCTGTTAGCAAAATACGACATTACTTTCCGATCAACACAATAGTAATTTGTTATTTGATATTATTGACTAAGTGTAAATATATTTAAATTGAATTTTTAATTATCATGGAATCTGACATCTCTTTTCAGGCTAAAGAAATTCTTGCCAAGGAGTCCAATGTTCAAGAAGTAAAATGTCCTGTTACTGTATGCGGCGATGTCCATGGCCAGTTCCATGATTTGATGGAATTATTTCGTATAGGAGGAAAGTCACCTGATACAAACTATCTCTTCATGGGTGATTATGTAGATAGAGGCTATTATTCTGTTGAAACTGTTACATTACTTGTGGCACTTAAGGTAAGATACCTTGGCTTTTAATTTTGAGTGGATGGTGTGCATCAGTACTAAAATCTTTAATTGTAACTGTAATAAGTAAAAGACTATATAGTCTGTAGGTTAACCATTTACCCTTAAGTATTTGTATTTTATTAGACACTAATTGAAAAACTATGCAACTCTTGACTCACTTAATTTGATTGTTAATTGCAGCTTTATGCAACCACCTTGGCTCAATTTGGCATTTTTTTACAGATGGAAAGGTAAAAGCTACTTATCAGGTCCCAATTGGTGGGTTTTGCAGTCTCTTTTTTTGGGGGGGGGGATTTCCAAACTGTTGATATTCATCATAGATCAGCAAACATTATCAATATAAAATACTTAAGCAATTTAAAAACCAAATTTGGATTATTAAGTAAGGATTATATAATTCGTTTAAAAAAATTCTTCTTCAACAAATCCTGTAATTTTTTTTTTTTTTTTGCTTTCATCTTCTCCCAAAGTGCACAGTGATCTGTTTTCACTTAAAAAACATCAGAGAATTGTGGAGAAGCGACTTCATGGTACTGGATGGTTATTGTTTGACAAATAAGAGAGAAGTTACTAATCAGGTGCAAGTTGATAGTTTTCACATTTTTTTTTTAAAGAAAACTTCCCAAACTATTGATGTATATAGTAACTTGGTAGATGATATTAACATATGGAAATAAAACATGCTTTAGTAGTAATATAAAATACTAATTTGAATTATTAAATAAGAATACGGTGATACTTAAAAAAAATAACACTTGCATTCTAATTTAAATCTTCCTGTATCCCTCCCCCCGGTGTTCTTCTCCTGAAGTACACAACACAGGGTTTGTAGAGGTCCTTATAAGTGCTTATAAGTCCTTATATTTGAAAATAAAATATAAAGGCCCTTATAGGTGCTTACTTTTTCTTTAAAGCCCTTATTTTTTCTTTTTAGTGCTTATTTTTTTGCTTTTAGTGTTGCTTTTTTTTTTTTTTTTAATGAACACGCTTTTTTTTCCCGTACCAAAGCCGAAACTAAATAAACAACTTTTTTCCCTAATATGGAATGTCAGATGGTGAGTCATACTCCCAGAAATAGCTTTTTCCCCTTTCCATACCTGCCAACTTTTACGAATTTTTCGTAATTTTTACGAAAATGCGTTTGTCTTTACGATTTTACGATCGTAATCCATTTTTTACGATTTTTTTCCTTTTTCAAGTGTTTTTAGTGATTTTTGTCGAAATTTTAGAATTTTTCGCCAATTCAGTGATTTTTGCCAATTGCATCGTGTTTTACCGCCAACTACCGACTACTTCGAATCCAGTAACCTGCGGTTTCTCCCAACTCGCCGCTTAACCAGCCAATCCAATGCGCTGAACTTGTTTCTCCCACTCCTTTCTTTGTGGGCGCCAGATTATTTTTTTTCGCGTTTTTCAGCAGCAAGGGAATTACTAGCGAACGTGGATTGTCGCATTCTTTTTTTTTCTTTTGTTTGCACGTGCTACAAATTTTCTTAATACGTCGTTGTTACGAAATGAGTTAAAAAAAACCGTATTTTCGGCCTGCCTACAAAGCCGAATTTCCAACAATTAAAGAATCCTTCAAAGGAAATAACTATGCATTTTGCAACGTGTGCATGTGTGACTTCATAATAAGTCACGGTAGAAGAAGAAGCGACATTGTGAAGCTTGTTAAGTCTAAAAAGCATGAAGTTAATGCTTCGGCTTCGACATCATCAAAGAAAGTGGATTTTTTTTTTCAAGTTCAGCTACAAATTCGAATGCCGATGTCATTTTGGCAGAATGTTTGTTTACACAATTTGAAGACTTTGCCAGTTCTGGAGAAGATAGATTTGATGTCCTCGTTGGTACCTTAAAAAGAATAAAAAGAGCTAATGGAACACCAAAATATGATAGACTAGCAAGAGTTTTATGTGCTATTCTCGTAATTCCACACAGTAATGCTGAGTGCGAGAGAGTCTTCAGGGTTGTGAAGAAAAACAAAACTATGTTTCGTTCTTCAATTTCACCAAAAACTCTAGAAAACATTTTAATTGCTAAATGTTATGAGGAAACTAATTGTTATGACAGGAAATTTTCCAAAGAATTTTTGGCTAAAGCCAAAAAATGCACTCTAAATTCATTGCAATAATTTTTTTGTGTAACATTAAGTTCTTGTTTTATGTTTCCTAATAAAATTTTTAGTTACTACTTAATTGAGATTTACTAATGTAAGTATGATTTTCTTTTTTCTATTTGTATAAATTGTTATTTTTTTAATATCAAAGCATGATATTAATTCTTCGTGTTCTTCTGAATTTTTATCTTTAGAGGTTGGCAGGTATGCCTTTCTCTGCATTAACATAACCTTTGGTGTGCACGAAGAGTACAGTCGTTCTACTAGGTCAAAGAATTGCGAAAGTAGTAGAAAATTTCGCTACATTCGGCATTCTTTTCCTCCCACCCAAATACTCATGGAGGAAGGAAGTAAGATGGAGTAGCCCTAAACAGGTTTCTTCCGTACCCTGCTCTGAAGCACCGGCGATCCCTACGTGGTGACCAAAACATTGGGTCATATTATTAAATCAATGCCGTAAATATACATATAAACGTATATATTTTCTTTTTCTACAGCACTTCAGAGTCCTAAGTATATGAAAACAAAATATTTTTTAAACATTTCATTCTGAACGGAGTTAAACGCTATACTTTTCGCAGAACAGTTTTCTCAGAATGTTTTAATTTGATTGAAATATTTTCACAAGTTTTCGTTAATTACATTAGAAAAAAAATTTAAGGTAATTCGATTTGATTCGTTAAAGGTAAAAAAAAATTAAGATCAAAGTTTATTGTATTATTAATATTAAAATTATGCATTATTTCTTTTCTATTTATAAAGCTTCTTCCTAAAATACTTTCTTAAATATGACATGATTTTTTGGCTTCTGAGGCATCTTTTAAATCGAAAAATATAAGTCAATTTATGATTAATGCTCTATTTGGTTCATTTTAAATTAGAGAATTATTAGAAATTAGCGAAATACTTTAAATAGTACTCAATTTTCTCTGAACATTTCTGAAAGGGAATAAAATGAGGATATTTTTTAAGTATTATTTAAAACTTGTAACTGAGTTTTTATAAAATGTAAGGGGAATAATTCTTTTAATTATCAGATTTTCTTTTACCCTTCATTTCAACAATACATATTCTAAAACTCTTTATTACGTTCTTAAGTGCGCATCTCATAGCATTTGCTTTACAATACCTTTTAACAGATTGCTTTCCAATACGAACAATTCTTGCTTAAAAAGTTTTATAACGTATTTGTCAACGGGATTTCAATTTATGCTTACAATTCAATATTAAGGTTATCATATATTTGAGATAACATTTAGAATCCTTATAAATCAGATACATTTAATAATTAGATTTCTTAACAGTTTATAAATGAATAAATTCCTTATTTCAAATACATTTATAAATAATTTAATGAATATTTATGTATTTTGTTAAAGGCAGATGCATGCGTTTTGAAAGCAAATGCATAAATACCCATACATATTTCATATTTTTCATTTCCAACATGTGCAAATCGTTAATTTCTGTGCATTCACTATATTTTATTTTTAATTAACCCAAATAAGTAAAACGTGTAAGCCCAAAGGGATTATTTTTCAGATATATAAAATTAAAATGATGAGTTTAAAATGAGCAACAGTAAAGCCTCTCCTCTAAAAAATTTTAAAAGGTACATGTTACAATAATATATGGATGTGAAAAAAATCTATTTTATTTAAAACATTTTGGCATTGGAACATAAAATAAAAGTAGCGAATACTCTATCAAGGGTATCGAAAGACGTATACAATTTTAAAGGTACCGTAAGGTATTTTTCATTCTTTAAGCATAAAATTTTTGTTAAAATTTATATTTTTATAGTTCAACAGCTTATAATTTTATAAAACAAATTCATAATCAAAATCGCTGTTAGTTATCGAAAAATAACCAAGATGTGATTTTTGCGTAAATGTCACTAAACTATACAAATTGCTATTATTTAATGACAGTATGAATTTCTTTCATGTGAAAGTGTCCCTTTTTCGATTTGTATGGAACTGTCGTGTGTCGAAATACTATCAGAATACTGTCAAGCGAGCTTCTGAATGTAAACAAAGAACACCCCATCTGGTGATCGAATACGACATTTAGTAAGGAATTCTAAGCCAAATAAAAACATCTACCCTGAAGATAAGGATAGTGCTGACAGATCAACTTCCAATTCAGTGTGCCCCCCCCTCCCCTGCGCAGAGCAGCGTAAAATTGATAAACAGATTTTGGAATGATTAGAGAATCAAAGGATATGCCTTTATCCATTTTTTGCAGTAATTCCACTTTTTGTGTAATGGACTTCGAAACATACTTTCACTTTGTAGATCCCTTACATATTAGTAAATATATATCAGAAATTCTCTTTCACATAATCGAAAGTTCAAGCTTACTTTTATAAAATTGCTCTAACAGTCTGCAAAAAATAATAAGCCGGATCCAATTCGAAGATTAAGGAACAACGCAATCTGCAACATTAACTGAATTGGATAATTTTAGCTTAGCTTATACCGTCCGTTATACATTAAATGCGCATGCGAAAATGTATTATGCGCATGCACACACGCATATTCGCAGCCGTAAAGGTCTTACACGCATGCATAAACATGATGCATGCGCAGAAAGTTTGTAGCTTTGAGGTCCGAATTATAGATCATTCCGGATTATGGATGTCCAAATTAACGACTTGACTGTACAATGAAAATTTAGAAAATATTCAGAATTTAGATTTAAATTATTTAAATATCAATATTAGTAGAAAAATAAATTGTATTTATTATTAGGTTCCAAGCGAATACAATAAATATGCCTTATTATTATTTATTTATCTCTATTTTGAACTGAAATTTCATCATTAAATCTTGTAATATAGTTTAGTTTTTCATAGTTTTTTTTTTTCTCTCAATGTAAACTAGTTCTGTAAATTGAACTATTATTTAAAATTTAAAAAAAAGTAATTATTTTCCATGGTTGAGGTAATGCTTATTCTCTCTTAATAAGTACTTTATTTCTCATATTTTAAATTACAAGTCTAATTTTTAAGATTATGCAGTTGTGTATGATGTAATTAGACAGGTGCTTATGTTTTTTTCTTAAAATGTGCTTGAAAAGTGCTTATAGGTGCTTATTTTTTTAACTAAAATGTTGCTATAAACCCTGCAACAATCTGTTTTTACTTAAGAAAAAAAAAAATTGTAGACGCAGCTTCGTGTAAACCTCAGCAACAGTGGCTATCTAGGAAACTCATTTGTTCCCTTTAGATTATTTTCAGCAAAATTCTGTATCTCTGCAGAAATTTTATCGCAGTTTCCTCCATTGTTAGCAAATTCCACAAGCATTTTCACTGGAAAAAGGAATTTCGGTGTTTTTACACCGAAATAGTTCAGGATAGGGTGGGAGAGACAGAAAAAGCAAAACATTTAAAATTGTATGTTTTATTGAAGTTGCGTTTCAAGTGCTTCTTTTTACTGAATGAGAAAGTAAGTACCTAATTATTTTTGGAATACTGCCAGTTGCCTCATCTACTCCACACACTTTTTTCTTTTCACATCTCTGAATCATATTAATCAAGATGCTAATGTTAGGAATAATAATTAAAGTAGGTAACTGATGCCTTAAAACTCATTCATCTCATAATATCTTTAAACTAACATGCAAGCATCTTGCAGAATGGAAATCATAAAATTAGATCATAATAATAAAGCTTATAACATCCTATCGATACTATTGGAATCTTAATATTCACAATTTTAAATACAGAAAAATAGTATCTTACAAATTTTCCAAAATAAAAGTTTTAAAACTTAGGATTCCATACCCCTGTGAAATAGCAAAATATTTATAGGATACTAGATGAATATGCATTTAGACTAACATGGCAACGTGATATATCTTCTGTATATTTGAAAAGTGAAAAATACATAATGTAATTCTATAGGTATACATGAATTAAACACATTTTTATTTTAATCAGTCAGATTAAAAAGTGAGAAAAGTATTTTAAAGAACTTCATCTGTTGCTTTTAAATAGCTTACTTTACTAATCAATAACAGATAGATTAAATTTGAAATATAAATATCTTACATTTTGTCGAATGACAGCAAACTCAAATAAAGAGTGAAACAATGCATTTATGATGAATGATATTTAAAGTGAATTAACACAAGTCCTGACAGTCCTTTAAAAAAATAATAATTTTTTTAACCTAAATTTCACATCCCGAGTATTTATCAAGATACATAAAAACATTTATAACAACAAAGAAACAAATTCAAATTTATGATTATTTTGTATCCGTAATGTGTAAAAGTTTATATTTGCAAGAAATCTCTATTGATTATACTTCGTAATCAAGCATACTTATAACTAAATATTTAATTTTCAGACTGACGTATTCCAGTATGTTGAATTAACCACTAAATAATTTATTTTTAGCATTAGAACTCCTGCAAAATATTAGAATAAAAACTGGAAATTCAGTTAAAGAACGGTCACTTGCCTTCTTATTTAGCAGAGTTCATATGGAGACAGAGAATAACTAATATTTGTTTCATTTGACTTCCAAGTAATAGCCACTAAGAATCAAAAATCCTGATCTGTTGGCATTGAAAGTATATTTTATTGCTGAAAAGTCTAAGTAGATTGTTAGCAATGTATCAGTAGTTAATAACTCGTTAATAACCAAGTATCACAGAATAAAGAAGAATTAAAAGAAGTTCAAATCATGTATATAACTAATAAATCTGATTCGCATGTATATAAAAATTCGTATTTATTTATTTTTCTTTTGGTTCTACCTTCATAAATTGTTACTAATTGAGTATTAATATGATATTTTTATTCCAGGTTCGTTATAGGGAAAGAATAACTATTCTCAGAGGGAATCATGAGAGTAGACAGATCACTCAAGTATATGGTTTTTATGATGAATGTCTTCGTAAATATGGAAATGCTAATGTTTGGAAATATTTTACAGATCTGTTTGACTACTTGCCATTGACTGCATTAGTTGATGGTCAGGTGAGTTAGAAAATATTTTAAATTAAAGAAATTATTTATGGTCATAGCTAAGTATTTTTACTAATTCATTTGAGTTACACTGGGGAAAAAATATTTTGTAGTTTTTATTTCTTATGAATAAGCTTGATTAAATAATAAAAATAAAATTTTTCATTTAAATACAATAATAAATAATTTACTATTTTAATTTTGTTATCAGAATTTTTCATTAATAATTTATCTAATCTGCCTTTTTAGTCCAAAAGGGGCCTTTGTTCCTGAGGGATTATTGTTTTCGTTTTGCGATGTTATGTCAGTTTCACTTTTCAAACTGTTGCCACCAAATATTATTACCACGTATTTGAAGAAATTAAATAATGAAGAATCTGCATAAATGTATATATTTTTCTCGCATTGTGATAAAACACCAGTACCTAGAGCCATCGAATTTTGAATGACGTAGTCATACTGCTGATATAGGCATCTGGAAGCCCAAATTTGTGTTTTATTATTGATCTCATATTTTGTAAAACTTTAACGTATTTTTGATTAACAAACTCAAGGATTTCGAAGCGAGCAATGGCAGTGCTGTTCGGAAAAAGATATTTTTATCTCCAGTGCTGCTAATAAGGCATCAAACACATTATAGAAGAATCGTGCAAACTTGATTTAATGTGGAATAAGGAGGTGAAGAGTTAAAAAATTTGAGATTTTTATGAAATAAGTAGTGGTTTATATTCAGAAAGTGTAATATTTTGCTAAATATTACTCGAATAAAAGGTTTAGTATAATACAAGACTTAAAAAATAAAGTATGCCCTTAAATTATTTTTTTCTTAGTTTGAAAAAATAGTACATGCAACACTGAAGAAACGACTAAGACAATATGTGGACGGAGATTACATCTGTATTTCTTCTTCAGGGCTTTCAAAATACCCTCTGTGTTTAACATTCCATTAGTAACTTCAGGAGGGAGCAGTAGGGCTCTTATGTCTCATGATTGTTCCAATCAGAGTGGTATGAGACATTTTCAAAAGTGAAAAATCCTTTCTTGACGCATCTTATTTATTTTTACTTATTATTGTAGAAACTTTTCTACTCAATGAGCAAATGGCTGATAAAAAACAGTCCTTAAAAATGACTCCATCTTTGCATTTGACTGATTAATGGTCCAAATAGAGTTCATAGAAAGTGTCTGTTTCATTTATGCCTTTTTTTTTTTTTTTTTTTTTTTTTTGCATGTTTTTAAATGTTCAGGAAGTTTTCTATTAGCATATGAATACTAGTTAAAGTTTTTAAGATGCCTGTTGCATTGCTGTATGCTAAGATTGTAACTCCCCCCTTATTTCTTTTATATATTCTATATATAATTTTTTCTTCCCTGCATATGGTTATTTTTAAAAGCAGCATTTGAAAATTCAGACTAGATTCATCACAACTGTAAATTTGATCTCCATACAGACCCTCCTTTTCAATTTGTATGTGGAAATTTTCCTTGAATTTATTGACTTTTTCCAAGTCAGCAGATGTTTCCCCATAAACATTTACCTGTCCTGTGCCATAGCACTTCTTCCACCTGCCAGGTCAACACCAGCAGAAACTACAATCTTTCCTTATTGAAATTCCTCCTAGAATTTGATAACTTGGTTCTGAAATGAGTGTTACCTCCTTTATTTTCTGCTTAAACAATTTTTTTAAAAAATCACTCGCTCACTTTCTTGTATTCACCACTTTTCGTACTTTTCTTTCCCTTTAAACTATCGGTACATTTTCTTTTCATATATCAAGATTTGACTTTAGACCTCTTCTTTTCTCTTGTATTATAGTACAGGGTGTAGATATTTATAATGTACTGTTTTAATTTTGTTATCGGGATTCTTCATTAATAATTTATCTAATCAGCCTTTTTAGTCCAAAGGGACTTGGTCCCTGAGCGAATATTATTTTCATTTTGCAATGTTGTGTCGGATCACTTTGAATGTGTGTTTCACTTTTAAAACTGTTGCCACTAAATATTTTTGCCCTGTATTATATTTGAAGAAATTAAATACTGAAGAATCTGCATAAATGTATGTATCAGCAATTGTTTTATTGCAATGTTTCTTGCATTGTGATAAACAATTGCCGATACACACGAGTAATTCCTTTAATGTCAACAGTACACAATTTATTTAATATACACATATCGAAGTAATTTAATGTAAATTTGCATTTATCACTTGAGTAGAATTTTGTAAGTAATTTATTATAAACAATATACAGAAACAGTACCCAGATAAAGGTAAATTTTAAGTAATACAGAGTAAGAGATAGGAAAAAAAGATTGATTGAATTGTATTCAGCACTTCGGAGACTTTTTATAGTAATATACTTCAACATGAGCAGCAGTAGTTTCTTAGAGAATATCAAGTCTCTTCTTGATTTTTCTCCCTATATTGTGTATTTATGGAGTCACAGTATTTGTTTTTGTGGTGATTTGATTTTTTTAATTTTTTGATGCTGCGAATCTCTGCAGCATAATCTCAGTTCTTTAGTTATCCCCAGAAAAAAAAAAAGCCAAATGATGTAACATCCAGAAAACAAAGTGGCTATGAAATTTGTCCACCTGTACCAGTCTAATGATCTGGGAATGAAAAATCGTGCACATGTATAGCCCAATGAGAGGGGTCCCATCTAGTTGGGAAAAAAAAAAAAAAAAAACCTTTGGCTGAATTTCGTCTAATTGTGGTGCAGCTTACAGTTTCAGCATATCAAAGTAAACTTCTGAATAAATTGATAACTGTGAGGAAAAGAAGGGACCAATTTGTTATGAATTAGTGCGTACGAAATATGAATTTTAGGGCTATATTGCATAATATCCCATACACAATGCAGGTTTTCTGATTTTGAAATTGGGCTCACCAGCAGTCAAGCTGTGAAGTCACTGAACACTGGAAATTCGACCTGGGATTGAATCCCAGTGAACAGGTTGACTGCATTATTGGTTTTCTTGGTTTTTTTCTACGTGTAATGAGCCAGTCCTCCACGAAGGTATCTGTCCCCTTAGGCAGATAGGCTTCGAGTTGCTTTGCCTAATCAATTAACCTAATGTAACTTAACCTGATCACAAAATTCTAAAATCTCCGGAAATATGAAAGGTTGCTTCGTCACTAAATATGATTTTCTGAAGAAATTGATCATCATTACTGATATGGTCAATGTTTGTCGGAAATTCCTTTCGAACAGTTTGATTTGTTGGCAAATCTACTATTTATACACAGTCAATTTCAACCATTCAAGAACAATTTTATGAATAATTGACCGTTTCCGACCACAGGTTCGGACACTTCTTACATGTGTCTGGACAAGTGACCAGTGGTGAGGAGCTACTATCCATGGGATTGTGGCTGTATGTCTCTAAGTTAGAATCCCATCTAATCACTTCAATGATATATTTTGTGCCTTGCACGTCGGTGGGCTATTTTAGCCAGAGCGTATATTTGTCCTGGATGGGTCAGGTTACTCTGCCGACAAGACTTATTCGATCTGGAGTAATCAAGGGGCCACTGAGACTATGTTGTCCCTGCTTGGAAATCCACACCGTGCAGGCACCAAATCATCTGTAGACGACTTGGGTACTGCTCTGTGTGTTGTTAAGTAGTAGAGCTGTCACCATACTTGCAATCTATTTTAGACTCAGCCTTTGCCTGGATATAAACTGAGAAACTGTACCCAGAATAAACTGAAAGTTTATCTTACAGTAGATAGCCATAAACCTAAGATAAGCCTGCTAAAGTTTCGCAACTGGAATGAATGTAAATGGTGATTGGTAGCACCTTGTTATTGAAAGGGGGAATGGAATTGATTGGTTCCCCCCACCAAATGTAGCCATATTTATTAAAGGGATAGTTCCACAAAGGGTTCCAAGTATAAAATATTGTAGCAAATCTTTGAAGAGGGAATGTAACTAAGAATTCTGCCAAATCATGGCATGATGGCCAAACAGTAAATTCTGCTGGAGATGTTGGAATGCCAGTAATTAGTTTGATAGTATTGAAATTATATTCTCTTCTTTTATCATAGATTTCTAGTTTTTGTATTTTAAAATATGTAAATCTAAGAAATTGACATTTTCTGTTTTCTTATTTAGTCAAGGAGGATAGATAAGTTTTTTGATTTCTTCAAAATTATTAGTTGCTAAGAGTCATCAACATATCTGTTAATATACGAAAAATAAAACAATTGTTCTTTATTTACTGCTTTTTGAAATAGAAATTCTTTAATAGAGCAGTATAAGTTACAAATTGCCATAGATGAATTACAACCCGTAGGAATACCGTTAACCTGTTTATAAATAGTATTAAATTGTATTTAGCTGTGAAACAGCACAGTTTTAAGGTAAGCAGACTAATTTTCTTGAGACACCACCATAAAAATCTGTAGAAAAAGTGTAGGTAGTGTACAGAGGCTGTTATAAATTTCATTTAATGGGAGTGTAGTACAGTCAAAAGTCGTTAATTCGGACTCGTCGGGACTTCGGCGATTCCGGATTATAGATCATCAGTTTAAATCTGGTAAGATGGCATGCAGAAATTACAAAATTAAAAATGTGAAACCGTAATTTATGAAATAAAGAACAATTATGATCTAAAGGGTATCAAAATTTACCAAAAAAAAAAAAAAAAAAAAAAAACTTTACGTTTATTTGTTTACTTTATTAAACATTTCTTTCAACACACACATGCGTAAAGCATACATTACGCATAGTTGAAATTAGAAAATTGCAACCAGAAAACTATTTAATGTGTACTCATGATATTTATAATGACGAGGAATTTGATTTAAATCATATCAAAGACTGAATACATCGAGATGAAATACTACATTTAGTAAGGAATTATAAGCTAAATAAAATAAAAACATCTGCTCTGAAGATAAGGATAGTGCTGACAGATCAACTTTCAGTTCATTGAGCTGCGATGCCCCCCCCCCCTGAGCAGAGCAGCGTGAAATTGATAAACAGATTTCGGACTGGTTAAGAAACAAAGGATATGCCTTTATCCATTTTTTGCAGCAATTCCACTTTTTGTTTAATGGACTTCGAAACATACTTTCGCTTTGTAGATCCTTTACGTATTAGTAAATATATATCGGAAATTCTTTTTGACATAATCGAAAGTTCAGGCTTACTTTTATAAAATTGCTCTAACAGTCTGCAAAAAATAATAAGACGGATCCAATTCGAAGATTAAGGTGTTGGAAAATATAGCTTATTTTTAAACCTTTTACTGCATCATCTCTCTTCCTTGAAATGTTTATTTAGATTAATCCTTATTTTAATGTAATATAGTAGTTACTTCTACTTCTTTTTCTTGCTGCCACTGTTTGCATTGAGAACGGACTGTTTCAACCTAATTGAGATGCAAAAACGAAACATGATGTTACGTCATCTGAAAAGCCGATTCGTGCCGATAGCTGATTGGTTGCCGTGAGATGACGTCATTCCTACTTCTGCTATAAGTATCTCGCGTCGCTCTGGCTCAACCCTTCTAGTTCCTGCTTTCCCGGTATTTGAGTGAGCGGTTTCCAGCCCCTTCAGAAGAATGGATGCAGTCCGGTGATTAAAGTGCATTGGTTCTGGTTTGCGAGATGATGGTTCCAGAATAAAGTTCTTCGGCTACCATGTGAGTGACTGCCGAGGGCGGCATCCATGTTTCTTCAATGAAGACAGAATTAAAAATACGTGAGTGGCGACGACTCCTTGTGCAAACGGAGTTAGGCCGGTTTTAAGTGTTTTCAAGAACTTCATTTAAATTTTTCAGGTGTTTTTCTTGACCATTGATTATGGACTTATTGAATGGGTAGCCAGCTTTATTTTTAGGCCGCATAGTCACTGTTTAGGACATTTTTTGTTTGTATAGAATGCCAGTGTTTTGAAGACCAGGTGAAAATATTATTTGATGAATGATGATTATATTATATTTTTCCTTAAGACTATGATATTATTGACATTTATTTTCTGTGTTTTTATTTTTTTATTATATTGTTAATAAATTGGATAAGTTCAAAATCTTTTATTGTCTTCAATGTCTGCACAACATATCTCGGGGAGCTTTCATTGCTACTACTGCTAAATGTTTAATTTCTTTAAACTTTAAACTTTGCTTTAGCATCATAAGGAACAAAGCAATCTGCAACATTAACTGAATTAGATAATTTTAGCTGAGCTTATACCGTCCGTTATACATTAAACGCGCGTAAACGTATTATGCGCATGCGCACACGCAAATTCACAGCGGGAAAGGTCTTACGCGCATGCGTAAACGCGACGCATGTGCAGAAAGTTTGTAGCTTTGAGGTCCGGATTATGGGTGTCTGAATTAACGACTTTTGACTGTATGCAGTCGTAGCAATTCATGTTTTTAATTTCAACATCTTTAATGGCAGTCAAAACTAGTATGTAATTATTGATAATCCAGTTGTATTTGTGTTCCTGATAAGCAGAATTTATTATGAGGTTGATGATCTTGTTAAGCTTTTCAGCAAACTTGAAGTATGTTTCTCTTATGTGATTCTTAGTGTCATAAGTGATGAATCTGAACTTGATTGGGTCTTATGAAACTTAAGACGTGCATATAGGTTTGGAAAGCTGTAATTTTTTGTTGAAACTGAAATTTTAAATCTGCAGTGTAATGCTGTTATTTCGCTTTTGTGGACAGTTACACTTGAATTCATTTTTTTTGATAAGTAATAGTATTCTGAAGTTCTTTTTCAATAATGTAATAAGACTTTTCAAATAATACTGAAGTTATTTTTTTACACACACACACACTATATATATAATAAAAAGGAAGGGAAAATGTAACAAATGTTGATGGCATAGCACAAAGAATTCACAGAACATAATAGATCCATATTGAAGAGGAAAATGCTGATTATGTAGAATGTTAAATCCTTAATGACTAGGAAACTGGGCAGTAGAGGCAGGTTAAATTCCATTTTTATTTAAATTGACATTTATGGCCACAATTTACTTGGTACTCTAATCGTGTCTGTTTTCAGAACATTTGCATTTTTTTATGCTGTTGTGATAGGAAGAGAGCAGAGCAAAATTGCATCCAGGCAGCACACAGAGAGAAGCTAAAAGTATACATTTATCCAGTATGAAAGATTGCCAAGAGGAAGGTTTTTGGTTTAGGTCAGAAAGGTTTTTAGTTCTTAAAATTTTGAGTTTAGGTTCAAATTAGTTATGTCATCAGCGTTATACAAGCCATGCAAGATGGATTGATCTAGAAATGATGCAGTCTAGAAAGGTTATGATTTTTAGAATACAGAGGGAGAATTACGGGTTACCACTAGTCTAAATTATCATTTTTATTCGTATATTTTTTCCTTACTATGGACATTACTATTGTCTGTAATTGATAACTTTTCAAAGTTATCTATCATAACTTTATCTGTTGCAAAGCAGTGTTATAAGGGAGAATTCACATGTAAAAATGAAATGTTGCAGACTAGAGAAAATTAGCAGCATATGAATCTGTTGAACATAAAGCAAAAGATTACAAAAATATTTTAGACCATGAATTGATCACTTACTTTAGTATTGATGAAGAGTTGGAGAATAATTTCTTGTTGTTTGAAAAGTAGGATTTATTATTATTATTACTACTGTAGCATAAATAATATGAACATTTAAAAATTAAACATTGAAATGCATATTTCTTTTTAATGTATATAATAATTCCATTTCAGCTATATTTTTACCAACAATTTTCTCCTTTCAGATATTCTGCTTACATGGAGGATTATCTCCATCTATTGACACATTAGACCACATCAGAGCACTCGACCGTCTTCAAGAAGTTCCTCATGAGGTAATGGGCTAATTATTTTGCTCTAATTACTGGCATAGAAAAGGGTTTGCTTTTTTTTTTTTGTTTGTCTGTTTAGTACAGTACACATTAGACATTTGGAAATCATGTATACAATCTACTGCTTTTAGTTGGTTGTTTCTTAACTAATGCTATTTTTAAATTCAGACGTGCAATAAAATGGCAAGAGGGGATAAAAACAGCAACCAATTCTAGTGCCACCATCTGAAAAATAAATAACTAACAAAAAGTGGTAGGTCATATACTATACGATTACCAAAACTGTTTACCGAGATCGCAGTAGAATCTCTCTTAACTGTCATCAACAAAACCTCAGTGTATCTGGATAAAAGATTTTTGGGGAAAATTGAATGTTTATTTCTAAAACATACCTGTTTATATTTTGTGATGCCATATGTAGAAAATTTAGGGTGCAAAGTGCATTGGTCATATTTTTAGATCTATCAGTATTAAATAAATAATATTGAAAACCGCATATACTATTTAACCACTTGCGCTATGACTAAACTTCACGGTTGCGGTGCCATGCGCTACAATATAACAAGTGGTAAAGTGTCTCATTTGCGCCGCTCCCCGTCTGCGAGTGCAATCCAGAGCTGTAACTCGAGAAATAAAGAATCTCATTGTTTAGCCGACGTGTGCACCATGTTATTTTCATTTTTGCGCGCAGTTTGAGACAAAAGCATCTCACCGTGTGTGGCACGTCTTTTTAGCGCAAGTGGTTAAAATTAAAACACATACACATGATTTTATATTTAAAAAAATAAACAAACATTTTAAAATTATATATATCTGGTTGTAACGAAAGTTTCCACTAAAAATAGTTCTTAATGAAGTTAGGGAAATCGGTACCTTTAGTGCAGGTAGTAATCACTACCCAAATCTGATTTTCTGCAAGCATTTCCATAGTTTTTTAAAGCTTTTGGCTGCAAATCCAAAAACAGATCAACTTCATTTTGGGGAATGCAAACACATGTGGTCTTGGCATTATCTTGATGGAATATTACCTTCTTGTCCCAGAACTCAGTTCGACGCTTTACTGGACAGCAGCATCAACATGCACTACCATCTCACTGTATGCAAGGGTTTTACCTTTTTCCAGATACTCTTTGTGGATAATACCCGAGCAATCCCACCAGATACAAAGCATGATCTTTTTGTTAGTCAAATTGCGCTTTGTGACGCTGCCAAGGAGCTCATGTGGCACAGACCAACTCCCTTTTCAGCCTCTGTTGTTGAAGTAAACCCATTTTTCGCAGAATTTTGTCCTTGTGTTGATATTCGAGAAGACTAGTGCTGGCCCAAACACACCTGTCCTTATTTGCTTGAATGGGTCAGCTCATGTAGCACCCAAAGATTGAACTTCTACGTCAAGTTTATGGGATGTATAGCACGACTAATGGACATGCCACTAACGTCTACTCCTTTAGCAAGCTCTGGAATGGCTGCATACCGATCTTCTTCCACAAGTTCTCGCAGGCGGCCCTCATCAACATCAGTAGGCCAGCCACAATGCTTTTCTTTTTGAATGTCACAGTCCTTGTCTTTGAACTTTCAGTACCAAAACTTCGCAGTGTCATATGGTACAATGTTAGTACCTAAAGCTATACCCATGATTTTGTGACATTCTGTCGCTGACTTTTTGTAACAGAACTGAAAGTAAATGGTATTTCTAATCTGGTAGCATGATAGCTCCATTTCAGACGCCTTGTACTTAATGATAATGGTATTTTTTTCCTTACAATACACTATTCTAAAGCAAGTCTTTTTCATTCAAATGCCAAAAATCATTTGACAAAGTACGATTAAATGTGCCAACTATATTTTGCAGACTATATTTTCGGTAGTAGGAAGCTTTCATTAAAACCCGATATTATCAGAGAAATTTAAGAATTTCATATTGTGATGACCTATAATTTTGAATATCTGCCTGCTTGTGAGATTGTTGCTAGAGTTTTAAAAACTCAGTGTGTATAGAATGAATCTTCATAACATCATATACTTCAACAAATCATATGCTGACGAAGTCTGCAGTTCTTCATGAGCTTCCTTTCACTTTCTTGCTCTGCATTTCATTTTCATCCTGCCTCTCTTCCTCATCATCTTCTGTCTTAGTGTTCGTCTGATTTCTTCATTGTCATTTTGAGCTAGTGCAATTAAGAGCGGCTTCATAATTACATTCATCCAAGGCTGCTCTTTCTCTTCACCAATACCGATCTTTTCCAAACATGTAACTAAATTTAAGATATCGTAAAGGGAGCCAGACATATTTTAAAACCAAGAGAATCTTCGTCACTTGATTCATCATATATGAGCATGATCATAGACCACAGTTTATACCAACAACCATAAAATAATGTTCTTTACTTCTTTCCAGGTAAGAGCCAAAGTAAATACAGTATTTGTTAATGTGAATTGCTTTTAGAGATCATTAGTGCTACTTTCAGTTGGATTATTTATCATACATGTGATTTCTTTTAACCTGTCTCAAATCAATGTGATTTCTAAGTTAACCATGTGACACATGAAAAAGAATCTGTGATTCTTTTTTGTATTTTAGATAATGCATTGGATGGATAAGGCTTGCTTAGTAAACCTAATACAAATGTTTTCAACATTAAGTCTTCAGATTAAGACCTATTACCTATTTTTTTTTTATCTTACAGACCTTAATTTCAGATTTAAGTTTAGACCTTTAAAATACTGTTATTTTGATATTGCCGTGAATTGGGTGCCAAGTGCGAGTGATTTTACTATACTTTCTTTGAAAACAAGAACACAGGTGTATTGTGTAAGAGCAACACATTTAATGATGGCTGTTAAGCTGTGTTGATGCATTTGTCTTTCTATCAAATATTGTGTAATATGTAGTGTCCAATAACAAATTTTGCAAATTACTTAAATATCTAGGGTCCAATGTGTGATTTACTATGGTCAGATCCTGACGATAGAGGAGGCTGGGGGATTTCTCCCCGTGGAGCAGGATATACATTTGGACAAGATATTTCAGAAACTTTCAACCACAGCAATGGCCTGACATTAGTGGCTAGAGCTCATCAGCTTGTAATGGAGGTATGTTTCAAAATTAATGTGTTTTTCATAATATTCCCTTCCAAGAGTTTGGTGCTGAAACCTAAATTTTCCTTAAAGGCCATGGATAAGTGGTATTTTTTTGTGACTTTCCCACTTAGTACCTTAACACTGACTTCTCAATTTTTGCTTCAGTTCTTAAAAATTGTTCTCACTAGTGCTCAATATTTTTATTGCATTCTGTAAAACTTTGTAAGGTTATATGTAATTAAATCATGTTATGAACTAAAATTATAACCTTTCAAAGTTTTACAAAATGCAATAAAAAATGTTGACTACTAGTAGGAACAATTTTCAGAATTTGAAGCAAAAATGGAGAAATCAATGCCGAACGGCTTATTCATTTGTACAGTACAATTGAATCGTATTTGCTGATACCATGGGGATGAACAAAAATAATTCACTTTCAGCTAAATGGTAGCCAAATCAATGTTTCTGATACTATGCAGTTTTTAAACCATGAAAGCAAGTTTCAAACAATTCCATAGAATCATCCCATGCTCAATATGAACAACAAATAAATAAATAAATAAATAAAGCACTTTCTTCAAAATATGGAGGACACGTAAACTCCCAAAAAGATACAAAATTTACAAAAATTATAAATGCTCGAATCAAATAAATACGTCGAAATGGATAACCAAAAAAGGCTTAAGCAGTTATTCCGTCAGAGTTTGTTGATACTCTACATTACAGCTATTTAAGCCCTTTTTCGGTTATTCAATGCGATGTAATTATTTAAGTACTTACATTTTTGCCAGTTTTGCATTTTTTTAAAGTTTAATTATACTCCACATTATGAAGAAAGTGCTTTTAATTTTTTTGGTTCTTCAGATCAGATATGGAATGGTTTTATGCAAATGCTTATGATTTACTTTCACGGATTAAAATCTGCATAGTATCAGAATTGTTAATCCATCTACCGTGTAGTTAAAATGGGAAATTGAATTATTTTTGTCCATTCTCTAGATGAGAGCAAAAATGATTCAGTCTGACTGTTATAATAATTTGGCTAGCCTTGGAATTTCTATTTTTGTTCGAGTTATAAAATTGTTCTTGCCGGCTTTCAACTTTTTGTATTGCATTTTGTAAAACTTTGGAAGGTTATATATTAGTATTTAATATAATTAAAATATAATTTGCTATTTAAGTATAGTTTATTCTGTGGTTGAGATAGCATTTATATTTTTTCTTAATTCCTTTTACTATGTACTGTATATTCTGTCATATAATGTGCACTTTCAATATAAAAAATAAGGTCAAAAATTACGGGTGCTCATTATACACTGGGTATAGAAATGATAGATTTATAAATAAGCCAAAAAAAAAAAAAAAAAAGTTAAATTTTGATATGTATACTGTGCAAAAAAGGGGGGACATTTCTATCTCCTGTTCTACTGGGCCAGCTGATGAAGTTCAACTTGTGTTTTTCAAGTCTCGAAAGAGCGTTTTTGGATATGTATTAGATTTATATATAGCATTTTCTAATATAGGTTTTTTGACATAAAATCGGACTTTTTCTGAAATAACATACCAATTTTTTTACAAGCGGAGTTAGTGCCTCGTTTAACCAGTGCTCAGTCATTGAGTGAGTGTATCGAAGTCTAGCACCGAGTTAGTTATCGAGTGCATAGAAAAAGTCTTTTCGTTTATCACGAGTTAGTGCATTGTCGAGTTTTGTCTTAGAGTATGCTAAGCTCTGGGAACTACTGAACCGAGTCGAGAGCTGTACTCTTGTGTATCGTTGAGTGCATCACGAGTTGTAGCATAGAGAGTCTCGAGAGTACATAGAGTTCCGAGAACAACCGAGCAGAGTCAGGAGCTGTATTCTGGTGCTTTGTCATGAAGCTGTCTTCATCGTTATAGTCTGATTGCCTGAAGGTTGTGGCACTGATTGTTACAGCGTGTCTATAGTAGTTCTTTGACGACTGTAAAAACATTATTTTGGAGCTGTCCTGAGAACACTGGCCAATAAAGTGTGTTTTGATACTTCATCAAGTGCTGTTGTCATTATTCACTTCAAATCCACGAACCCGTACCGTATGAACATAAAGGAAGAAAAATAAGGCAACAATACCTAAAAATTAAAAAATTTGGCTTGGAATTACAGATGCGCGTTATGCACCAGGAAATACGATGTATGTAATTTAGGCTGTAGAAAAGAAGAAACGTTTCCTATGGAAAAAGGAGGGCATTATCTATTGTGCATGTAACCAGGTGGTGATGGATGATTGCTTATTACATTTTTGCTGCGCTGTAGATGACTGCACTTTTGAAAAATCTCAAAACAATTTTTTCCATGGCATAAATTTATTTTCTGAAGAATGATCTTTTAGAAATGCATATGTGGGACAACATTATAAATACAATAAGCTCTTTACATTGCTATACAACGTATCACATTTTGAAACCATGGACTAGGCAACAAGTGACTAGTGTATATTAATGAAGCAGGAGCTAGAAGCAAAGAAAAGAGATGAATAAGAGCCAGGCTGTTTATAAGAATGCAGAATCTTTGTTTAGAATCTAAGCAGGCGTTGATAAAAAAATTTCGGCATTGCAAACATATTATGGTTGTTAAATGCGTATTTAAATTTAAAGGGGTATTGCTAATTACATAGGAAATTTACTAGTGATTTATTTTCTTTTTTATAATATATATATTGATTACCTTAATTCTCTGGATATATTTCAAGATACTTAAAAGGAAGTGTGTGAACTTAAAGGTAGTCTGAGAGATATTTTTGAACATACGTGCATGGTGTGATTGCTTGGAGTTAAGGAAACGAATCAATAAGTGGTCCCCCCCCCCTCGATTTAATTTTAAATTTTTGTTACATTTTAAGGATGTGATATTATTATTATATTGTTATAATGATATAATTATGATAAAAAAAATTAAATTATTAATTTTTAAGTTGAAAAAGAAACAAAGCTAAGCTTAATGTAACTAGGTGTTTTATAGTACTGCGCACTTGCTGAGTATCTTTTTTTGTGTGTGCCATTGGTAGGCACTTAGCCTACTTGGTCTTGGCCACTTTCTAATCAAAGCACCTAATGGGTGAGTCAATGTTACATCCTATAAATGTACGGACAATAAAAAAATCTCTTAGAAACGGGCCTTGTACGGGATTTGAACCCAGGCCCTTTGGTACCGCAGTAGGGTCTCCTAACCACTATACTATCTGGGTGGTTTTTTTGTTTTATTTTTTAAAGTAACTTTTTAAATTAAAGCATTTATTGCACATCAGTAGTTCTTATAAATTGTACCATGCTATTTTCTTTAAAAGGTGATCTCATGAAGTTGTCAAGTTTTGTATGTGGACTTTTTATTTGCATTAACATGTGTAGTATGGTATTAAATGTTTATTTTTATGATAGGGATATAACTGGTGCCATGACAGAAACGTTGTGACCATATTCAGTGCTCCTAACTACTGCTATCGATGTGGTAATCAAGCTGCAATTATGGAATTAGATGATGCTTTAAAGTATTCATTGTAAGTAAAAACACTTTTTATACTTAATATATGTACTTATAATTTTATGTGAAAAATATGAAAAATTTCTTGCATTTGTTTCATATATACATATATTTAATAATTTTAGAAACATCTTCAGCTTGTTATCCTACTTTCATTTTTTTTCTGCTTGAAGTGTTTCTTCTGGTATTATACAGCTTGATCGTTTAGTCATTTGAGCAATGTATCCTGCAATTGTGCAAGTGTATCCTGCAAGTATTTCTCAATGTAAGAAAATTACAAAATGAAATTAGCCAAAGAACTTAATTTAGAATATGTAATCAGTATATTTGATGTTAAAATCACAACATAAATAGTTGGATAAACTGAATCATATGTTATAAAAGGAATTTTAATCAGTTTCAAGTTCTTTTAAAAAGGTGCTGCAACACAGCACGTAAACCTACAGAAAACTCCTAGTTTTTTTATGTTTCAAGATTTGCAACTATGGCATTCTTGGTATTAATTGCTCATTGTAATATCCACAATCTTAATCAAAATTGTACTTTTTTACATCTTTTCAATGAATTAAAGAGCAATATATTCAAACCTTGATTTTACTAAAAAAATTTTTACATGTTTAGTAATTTGCAATATCTATTTTCACAAACAGTAGCAGTTCACAATTTTTATTTTCTTACACATTTTAACAATGCCTCAAAGTTAGCAACATTTTTGCACACAAAACAACCATTTTACTTTTTACATTATTAAAGTTTACAGCATAGTTTTTTACAATAGCTCTCACAGGTAGAAGCTTAACACTCAACTTTACATTGTATTACCGCCCTCTATTTATACAATAGCAGTAACAAACTACTAAACTTCACCTAGTTTAGCAAATGCTAGTCCACACTCAGGAGTTCAAATGTAGTTCTAGGTAAGTTAAATTAAAACTTGCTATATACTAGCCTTTTTATTATTATTTTTATATTTTGATAGATTGTATGTATTTTTTTTTTTTTTTTTTTTAAAGGTTTACTTGCGTAGTTTGTGTAGGGGAAGCTTTCAATAGGCAAGAGTTTCTACTCTTAATTGACATTTAATTAATATTTTAATTCCTAGTCATTTTATTTGCTAAGTTTCTCAAAATTCATACTAGTTTAAATTTCTTTTTTAGTATTTAACAACGTTTGTTTTTACTTTTGGTTTTGAATTTTACTTTTACCCTTGTATATATAGGGGACGAAACACGAATAGAGTTAGGTTTTGAGGCAACTTTCCCTTGATAAGTCTGTCTCCTGCCTGCTCAACAATTATTCACTTATGCAATTTTATTTGGTCTTAAAAATTTCTTAAAAAAATTTTTGAGATTAATTTTTTGAAATATTATATATTTCATGATGTGCACTTAATTTACATATGCTCTTAGAATTTAAATATTTTAAATTAGTTCGCAGCAATAATTTTATTTTTTATTTTTCCAATCAAATTTCTTAATTAAATTTTAACTTTATACGAATGGAGAATATTTAATAAATTCATATATATATATATACTAGAAAGCCCAAAGGTCATACGAAATGACCATTGTTCTAGATATTATAAATTGTAATTAAAATGATTTGTGCAAAGGTGTCTGCTAATTCAAACTGAATTACCCAGAGCAGGCAGCAAGGATGCCCCTTTGCTTACTGCTCCAAGGGGTTTCCCCCTTCTACTTCCTTAAAGTAAATGCAATGAAGGAAACTACTGGTGGTACATTTCTTAAGAGCCACTGCTAACTCAACAAATAAAGGTGATTTAAATAATAAAATGTTAATTCACATGTCAAAGATCTCTTTGTACACAACATTTCCATCATTTTTTAAGCTCGCCTTGCAGAGGACCATCAATTATTTTTAATTTTATGTCCGTTCTTTCATGAACTCTTGAACAGGCAACATAAAGTTGACAGTGTCCAAATGCAGGCTGTTAAGCGTTTGGCCCTGAGACTTATATTGATGGTCTTAGCATAGGCAAGTTTTACGAGAAATTGTCTACGTCTCAATCAAAATAGCAACCCTGTGCCATGGCACCTTCACCCCATTGGCTAGTACAGTAACACAAGCAACCAATAAACTATCGGTGACAAACAGACACTTAAGCCGCATATATATATATATGGGGTGAAGTAACATCATCTCCTCCGAAACGGCTGGCTCCCGGGCTTAGCAAAGCACACTATTAGATTCCGCAAGCCCATGGCACGCCATTTTGACCATTCGCGTCTTCGTGAGACTTTAATTAGCCGAGATATTAATTAAAAACTAATTTTCCACTTTCTTTGGTTTTCCCATACCTGCCAACTTGTATGAATTTTTCGTAATTTTTACGAAAATGCGTTTGTCTTTATGATTTTACGATCGTAATCCATTTTTTACGATTTTTTTCCTTTTTCAAGTGTTTTTAGTGATTTTTGTCGAAATTTTAGAATTTTTCGCCAATTCAGCGATTTTCGCCAATTGTATAGTGTTTCACCGCCAACTACCGACTACTTCGAATCCAGTAACCTACGGTTTCTCCCAACTCGCCGCTAAACCAGCCAATCCAATGCGCTGAACTTGTGGAATTACTCAGCTCGGATTCAGCAAGCGTGGATTGTCACATTCTGTTCTTTTTTTTTGCACGTGCTACAAATTTTCTTAATATATTGTTTCAAAAAAACCGTATTCTCAATATTTTCGGCTGCCTACAAAGCCGGATTTCCAACAATTAAAGAATCCTTCAAAGGAAATGACTGCATTTTGCAACGTGTGCGTGTGTGACTTCATAATAAGTCACGGTGGAAGAAGCGACATTGTGAAGCATGTTAAGTCTAAAAAGCATGAAGTTAATGCTTCGGCTTCGACAACGTCAAAGAAAGTGGATGATTTTTTTTTTTTTTTTTTTTTTTTCCAAATTCGGCTACGAATTCGGATGCCGATGTCATTTTGGCAGAGTGTTTGTTTACTGCATTCCTCATCGAACACAACGTGCCGCTAAGCGCTGCGCCGGTCAACTTTTCAGACGGATGTTTCCCGACTCCAAGATTGCTCAGAAATATCAAACCAGGGAACTTGTAAATTCTTTGAAAGATCATGAGAAAAAATAATTTTTTCAATGTGTCAGAAAGTACTTTTCCTCAGCCTGTGATTACATTGTAAGGAAGTTTCCTTTGCAAAATGAAGTTCTTTTAAATGCTGAAGTGGCAAATTTGAAACAAATCGAAAATTCATCTTTTGAAAAGATTCGTTTTTTTATTGATAAATTTCCATTTTTGTTAACAATTAAGGAAAATGAATGTCATAATGATGCTTTAGATGAACTACAGAACCAATTTTCTGCTGCACAGTTTGAAGACTTTGCCAGTTCTGGAGAAGAGTGTCCTCGTTGGTACCTTAAAAAGAATAAAAAGAGCTGATGGAACACCAAAAATTTGATAGACTAGCAAGAGTTTTATGTGCTATTCTCGTAATTCCACACAGTAATGCTGAGTGCGAGAGAGTCTTCAGTGTTGTGAAGAAAAACAAAACTATGTCTCGTTATTCAATTTCACCAAAAAACTCTAGAAAACATTTTAATTGCTAAATGTTATGAGGAAACTAATTGTTTCCAAAGAAATTTTGGCTAAAGCCAAAAATGCTCTCTAAATTCATTGCAATTTTTTTTTTTTTTTTTTTTTTTTTTTTTTTTTTTTTTTTTTTTAGTAACATTAAGTTCTTGTTTTATGTTTCCTAATAAATTTTTTAGTTACTACTTAATTGAGATTTACTAATGTAAGTACAATTTTCTTTTTTCTATTAGTATAATTTTTTTTTTTAAATATCAAAGCATGATATTAATTCTTCGTGTTCTTTTGAATTTTGGAGAAATCTTCTGAATTTTGGGGAGAAATCTTCTGAATTTTTATCTTTAGAGGTTGGCAGGTATGGTTTTCCCTATTAGAGCAGTTTGGCTACATGCCAAATTCTTTTTTCTTGATTATCTACAGAATGGTGACGAGTTGAAATTTGAGACACATATCCTCGGATTCCAAAAAATCTCCGAATCCATCGATACCGTTCTCATCTTTGTACGACTTTAATCGGCTGAGATATTAATTAAAAACTGCAGAAACATTAATTTCCGCACTCATTTTCCAAGTGGCAACAAACTATCAGCGACAAACACTTAAGTCACTTATATATATATGTGTGTGTGAGTTAAAATTCTGATTTGCGTGCATTTATCTTATATGTATATATATGTGGCGTTCCGACAGATACTTCAACTTCTATTCATGAGATGGCGCCATGTGTAAAATCCAGTTCTTAATCGGAGCAGCAAAGCGACGTCATTACTCACTCGGACTTCTCGCAAGACAACTGTACGCAGCGGTAGCATGAACTGTGTTCTGAGCTCTGCGTTGATCTCTGCAATGTAATTTAGTACTTAATATATTCTTTTGTTATAGGAGATTGTCTACTCTTATTTCCTTTAATTATATCATGCATTAAGCACACACGACCACCAAAAGTGGTGACCTTTTGACTGAGCACGCTACTGAGAATGGATTTTCAACGACCCTAAGCCACGTGCATCCAAGGCATTCTGAAGAACTGAATAAAAATAACAACGAATATGGACATTAAACGTATGCTACAACGTACCCCTTCAATTATTTCTAGAAGTATTGATATATATTGCTTGTGTTTTTTTTTTTTTTCAAAGTCGTGCATATCATCGCAAGGAGCTTCAGCAAATCATCAATGTGATCTGTTCCGTTCCGCTGACTTCGCCAGTCGTGCAATAATTCTTCGATCATTCAACTTTTGTGACAAATGTGATACAATAGTGATTTTCGCTAAATGTGCTACATCAGTAATTTTTCTGCAACGTGCTACGGCAAAATTCTTCCCTCAGTGTTCGAAAGTAGTGAATTTTTTTCCCATGTGCTACAGGAGTGATTTCCTTTTTCCTTCGAAAGTGCCTTAGCAGTGTGAAGTGGTGATTTTGTGTGTGCGCAATACAAAATGAAC